ACAGATATGCAACATCGAGGCAACACCCACAAGAAAATATTTGGAACAAAGGCAGAACATCCAAATATTTCATAATCTCCAAAACATCTATTCACGTATACAATTATCATTCACCATGTTTAAAAAACATATCATCAGCAGATACATACACAGGTGTATCACAAAAGAATCAAAATAATCCCTAACTACCCGGTGCCACATATCAGAGTCAACCGACCAAAAAGACTGAAGCCACGCTTCAGAAAAGATCTCCAGCAATCTAATCTGCAATGCCTCATAGAGCATTATAAAACAGCAGAAGGGTGAGAAACGATATCATAATACATAATGCATATAAACATATATGCATATACATATAACATCCAATAACGTCTTCCGCATTCTCACCGCAACTCATCTCACTACACCGTACATCGCAATGTATTCACAATAAATTATTTACAAATAGAACACTAGCATATACAATATGCATCATCAATGTTTATATTAATTCATAAACATACACACATATACAGATATACTCACACATACATGTATCTTCAAACATTCCATTCATGCCAATTATCAACAATTTACATAAACATCTACAATCATGTTTATTCACCATACATAATGCAAAGATGATAAATGTAAATCATAGAGGCCAACTCGCTACTCTACGCAAATGTAATACGATACCGACTTAATCGTCCATCAGATTCTCCTAAGAATCAATTCACTCACGCCCCTCACAGGTACACTATAACTCATCAAATTCTCCTAGGAATCACATTGCTCATCAGATTTTCCGAGGAATCACATCGCTCATCAGATTCTCAGAGGAATCACATCGTTCATCAGATTCTCCGAGGAATCACATTATTCATCAGATTCTCCGAGGAATCACATTGTTCATCAGATTCTCCGAGGAATCACATTATTCATCAGATTCTCCGAGGAATCACATCGTTCATCGGACTCTCCTAGGAATCCTATCACTCATCAGACTCTCTTAGGAATCACATTACTACATTACTCGTCGGACTCTCCTAGGAATCCTATCGCTCATCAGACTCTCCTAGGAATCAACAACACAAGAATGTACTTCATGATGTTTCACATGCAAAATGACTCCATACACTTCTTGAAATGCATACATGTTACAAACATACTCATGCATTCTTCACATTCATCGCATATATTCATTATGCATTCACAATATATATACATATCACAATACATATATACTTATTCACCATTCATTCACACCAATTCATACTTGGTTTATATTTACCATTCGATCTCAACATGCATTTCTATTCAATTCAAGTAAATGCTCCAAATTGCCAAATGGCCACATTCCACACTTTACAAATCACAAACTAGGATTCACACCATACGGCTACCCATAACACACATAACAACATATAGTTAGTCATCTCAGACAAGGAATGATCGCAACCCAACCACACAACCAATCCACGAATGGAAAACACAAGAAAAGAAAATATGTTGTTGTGTTCGCTAACCTTCGCCTGACGAAGCCTCTGGCGAACCTTCGCTACTTCGTTCGCCTGGCGAACTTGCCAGCGAAGACCACTGGGAGTTATTCTAGAATTACTCACTAGCACTCGCCAGCACACTCGCCTGGCGAACCTTCGCCACACTCATTCGTCTGGCGAACTTGCCAGCGAAGACAGGGTGTTTGCTACTGACTTGGTTCGCTGCTGCTCACTGGGCTTCGCCTGGCAAAGCTTCGCTGCCACTCGCCTGGCGAACCTGCGAACTCATAACTCTCATAGCTGTCCAAAAGCCCAAACCTCACAAACCGACCGATTTAATCCAAACCAGTTCCAGTAGCACAACCCACTCATCACCCGACTATACTACACCGTCTATTCCAAATTCTAACTGATAAAACTCAGTTTCTACCGATTAAATCAACTTCCGACCTAGAAATGGAAACATAGAAAACAATCCAATACATCCAAACTAGCACATACATGATTACATACATTATCAAGATGATAAAACTTCTCACCCTTACCTGATTAACCGCAAGCTAGGGTTTGATCTTGATGTTTTCCAAAGTCTCCTCTTCTTTCTCTCCTCTTTCTCTTATCCTTCTCTCTTTCTCTTTTCTTTCCTTCCTTTCTTACTATCTTTCTTTCTCTTCTATTTCCTCTTTAATATCTTCCTATTATTTTTTCCCAAAACATCTACTAACTCAATATCTCATAAAATATTCCACTTATCATTAAATAGGAAATGTCCAAAATACCCTCCAACTATTTTCTCCGAAAACTCCCAAAATCGGGTAAAATAGAATAATATGTAAACATAACATATCTCCACGAAAATTCCACATCAAAATAATATTCGCCCAATTAGAATCAAAAAGGACTTAACGAAAAAGGGATAATCAAAATCGGGGCGTTACATTGCATATGGGTATATAGTGTAAAATACAAGGCTGATGGATCTATTGAGAGGTAAAAAGTAAGATTGGTTACCAAAGAATTCACCCAAACTTATGAAGCATATTACTCATAGATTGCTAAAATGAATACTATAAGGATGATATTATCTTTAGCTGCTAACTACAATTGGAATTTACATCAATTTGATGTAAAAAGTGTCTTCCTTCGTGGAGAATTTGATGAAGAGATCTATATGAATGTACCACCTAGATACTGTGAACTTACTACCACCAACATTGTGTGCAAATTTTAAAAAAAAAAAGGTTTTATATGGGATAAAGCAATCACCACGAGCATGGTTTGGAATATTCACTAAAGTTATGGTAGGTTTGGACTTTAAACAAAGTCAAGGCGATCATATTCTATTTATCAAACATTCTGAGACATGGGAAGTAACAGTCTTATTAGTGTATGTGGATGACATTATAGTAACAAATGATGATGAGAAGGAGCAACAATTGCTAGACGAATACTTAGCATTGGAGTTTGTGATTAAGACCTTGGGAAAATTGAAGTTGCCCACTCTAAGAAAGGAATCTTCATATCTCAACAAAAATACATTATTGATCGTCTACAAGAGACGAGTAAGATAGCATGCAATCCTGCAAGTACACCAATTGATCCAAGTGTAAAGTTGGGGAACGCAAAAGAAAATATTATGATTGATACGAAAATGTATCAAATATTAGTTGGAAAACTTATAATATCTATCACAAACTAGACCAGATGTTGCGTTTGGTGTAAGCTTAGTCAACCAATTCATGCACCAACCGAAAGAGATTCATTTACATGCTGCGCTCTGAATTATGTAATATTTAAAAGGAATTCCAGGTAGAGGAATTTTGTTTGAACGAAATGGAAGTGTGAGTCTTAAAGCATATAGTGATGTTGACTATGCAGGGTCAGTTGTGGATAGAATGTCAGTTGTGGATAGAATGTCAACTACGGAATATTATACTTTTTTGGGTGGGAATTTTGTGACTTGAAAGAGTAGAAAACATAGTGTTGTATTTAGATCTAGTGTTGAAGCATAATTTAGAGCAGTGGCACAAGGGATATGTGAACTATTTTGACTGAAAAATGATATTAGAAGACTCGAAGATAAAGAGTTGCGAACCAATGAGACTTTATTGTGATAATAAATCTGCTATTAGCACAACTCATAATTCAGTGCAACATAATAAAATCAAACATATTGAAGTTGACAGACACTTCATCAAAGAAAAGTTAGATAGTAGTTTTATTTACACTCCATATGTTTCTTCTCAAGACAACATTATAGATCTTCTAACTAAAGGGCTAAACAACAATAACTTTTAAAAAATTATTTTCAATTATTTTCAAACTGTGAATAATAGATAGTCATTCACCGGCTTGAGAAAGAGGGTTGTAATTAAGTTATTTTTATTACTATTATTAATAATTTATATTTGGGTTTTTAGTCCATCAGTTATGTCTATTAAATTAGAATAGTCTTATATAAAGAGATTAGTGCTTGTATTTTTAAGATACATGAAATATATAGTTTTTAAGCATTTATTTTTTTTATTTCTCATCCTTTCTGTATTTATTAAATTAATTTTTTAAATAAAAATATTAAGATTTTATTCAATTGATTTATATTATTATTTAAAGTTTTTTTTAGTTACAATTATGTAAAGTAATCTAATAGACCTCAAAACTATAATGATAGATTGAATCCATCCATGTATTTTAAATACATTGATAAAATTGTCCCCCTAACTATGATCATTCCACCCTCATGTTGATGTTGAGCCTCGGTCAGGGTCTCTGATAATGCATAGGATGTTCTGTCGGTTTCCCCAGGGGTTGCCGGATCTACAAATTATTTTGTAGTTGTTTGTACTTGGGATGGTTTTTATGATTTTTAGCACTTCAGAGAAGCTAGGGTTTTATTAAAAAGGTTATGAGGACCGGAATAACGTTGTTCTCGGTGATATGTTGATTCGTTGCTGCAAAAGTGATAGGTAATGGCCGACACATTTCATATTGTTCTATTGTGTTAACTTAGTGACTAAAATTGTCAATCAAAGCTTTTCATTGCTTTTTCCATAGTGTTCCAAACAGATCAAGAGACTCGCCATTACGAGCCAAATTGGGCTCCAATAAATATTAGTTACAACACATGATCAAGTGACATACCAAGAGCTAAGATGTTGCTGTATACAACAAGTACCACATTTTAATCATTAATCATTAACTTTCGCAAAACCTACTACAGTTGCTCACAAGTATTTATGATTCAACATTGGTATTTCCTAATCAAAGCCAATTGTACATTCTTTTTTTTTTTTATCCCTAACTGAATCTTGTAAGCACTTACATTACAGATTCTACAAAATCTACACTGTCTGTTTCATGCTTGAAAAGGATACACTGTATACTATTGGAACTATTTACACTCTACTAATACAACACTACATCACAAATAGTACAGTGCATCTCCAACACTAGACAAGCTCACTGACAGAAAACTTGGTCGGATTTCAAGAATAAACCCAATATTTTGCCACCTGAAAATTAAGCACTTCCCGCCTCATCCGATGTACTTCCTGCTGGACATGTTCTGTCAACTTGAATTCCATCCTCACTAAACAAACTCTCTTCACTGGTATTGGAGAATGGGCCTACGTCTTCGCCAGTAAGTGAGTCGGCTTTTTGTTTCCTTCTGACATCCTTTACTGCTTTTCCCTGAAGAGCCAGTCGCCTGCGTTTTCGAGCTTTGCGCTTACCTTTAGGAAACTCTTCTTTTTGCAATTCCAAGTTCTTCCCTTCGGCATCTTTTGCAGTTTTTCCCTTGTCATATTCATTATCATCAGATTCTTCAGCATCCAGCTTACTACGCCTTTTCCTAGTAGTATTTGTCTGAAACATTGATTTGTGTTAAGATAGATTCAAAGCATTCTAGACGGTAAATACAGTAGAAATTTAACAGAAAGTAGACAAATATAAAAGCAAGCTGCACTAAAAAGGAATGAATAAAAGAAAGCGCTTCTACATAATCATATTACAAATGAAGAAATTTCGCTAGAGAATATTGTTGTATAATGATTTTCACTCCCAAAGCCCACAAACATCATCTCTTCCTCTGTATTTGAACTTTTTGTACTCCCCCACTTAATTTTGCAGATAACTATTAATAGACCAAACCTACACCTGGGCATTCTATGGTTTCTGAAGAACTTTAGGGCTACCTAGACTATAAGGTGTAGATGGGATAGATGTAGATATTAGCAAGTAGAAAAAATGCAACCTAATGCTACAAAGCTTCCCCCATGCAAGGTCTATGAAAGGGTTGGAGCCACAATGGATCTATTAGATGTACAATTGATAGTACAAGAAATGATTCCCGAACTCTATTAGTAAATGATTCCAGAACTCGATTAGTAAATATTTGTAAGTGTGGGAGATATGTCTTTCATTGTGGTCTGCCACTAGTCGCCTAATTGAGGCACTTGGGTTGCCTTCATTGCAACCTCCAACACCATCATTGTTCTGGGAGTGAATGAGTAGATTTAGTCTCAGATTGTTTTAGAGATCTGGCATGTGTGGTGCTAACAAAGTTTGGGCCTACAAGTTGATTTTGTTAGGTTTTGAGTTAGGCTCAACTCAATTTTTATGATGGTATTAGAGCCTAGTTCAAGATTCATTGTGCCACCTTTTGTCCGGTTTCGCTATCAGACCACCCACCATGTATATTCATCCAGACATCAAGCCCAAAAATGTTGCACGTGAGGGGGTGTCAAGAATCTCTCACATAGGACAATATAAGACCTGAACATATGTTTTTAAGTGGGGATAATCCTCGCCTTACAAGCTGGTTTTGTAAGGTTGAGTTAGGCCCAACCACAATTCTTAAAGGGTAAATATTGACAAGATAACTGTAATTTCCTGTTCTCGTAGGGGTCCAGATAATCTCCCTGCTTTACTTCCTGTCTGTCTATTCGTAAGGGAGGAGTATGTATTTCATTTTTCTGTATCAATTTATACATCAAATTCTCATTCCCAATCAAGTAAAGGCAATATTTTCAGAATATATTGTCTACGATGAGTTTAAATCATTCAAAAAATAAAAGGTGATCTTCAAATTGGTTGGTCTCAGAAACATACAAGCAGGTTACACATGACAGACAAATACAGTTTAAGGTCGCATATCCGTTAGTCCCCACTGGCCAATTTGTATAGTCAAAATTCATGTCTATCTGAAGATAGACAACAAATGGGACACAAATTTTTATAAAAAATGGGCCAATTTCTTATGGCCAGAGAATGGTATAAATAACCAACAGAGTAAATTCCTGGCTAAAGCCAAATGCTTTGTGGCAATCATAAGAAAACAACATGATTCTGCAGCAAACTTGTAGGGATAATTTGGTCAGTCAGCAAAAATCAATTCAATCCTCTTTGATTTGGTGGGGTTAATGAAAATGAAATCTTAATAATGATTCAATAACCCATAGACAGTTCACATGATCAAATTACATCTGCATACCTTTGGGCCACGATCAACCAGCCTTGCCCATTCATGCCGGTTCCTCAAACAATCAAGAACAGCTTGGGAATGACTTGCATATGCATATCGCTCTCCATTATGTTTCCTCAAGTTGGGCCAGTGCTGTGATAGTTAAAAAGAAACAAGCATGACCAACTAATGTCAACCTGTGAAAATAAAATATAAAAAAACAAAAGTAGGAAACCCTAAAACAACAATGACAAAGAACCATACTGGTAACACAGCACCACAGAGTTCCTCGTATGTCATGCGTCTTCCCTTGCTCATTATATCATTGATTAGACCTGCATTTGAATACATGTGTATATATAAGAAACTATCCACAAAGTACCCAATATATACGCACCAGCTCTTTTTCTTTTAATTTTGTAAGATGAAAGTTATAATAACACTCGGGTATTCGGTGTTTTTCTACCTACAAATTACAAGAGCTGGTCGTGCCCAAATCTAAATGCACATATGGCACAACCTATTAATAATATAAAAGTAATTTTGTGTAATAAAATCTATGTAGCACTCAAGGTGTTTGAAACTAGACCCGAAGCTTAAGGTTATTGCATGAATTTTAAAAGGCACGAGGTTAAGTTAAATAAATATTTGTTTAACTCGATTTTATATTAACCAATAGCGGGTCAATCTTATGTATCTACTTAACGTGGGAATATAGAATGGTTTAAAATTAAAAACAAACACAGCAGTTATATATCTGAAAGGAAGTTACCAGGTAAGGTGTGATGAACTGGCCTTCCAGGTGTTGTTGTATCATCATCAGATATATTCCTGGGTGAGTTCCTCATTGATGATAAATTACAATCCTCACGAGGGGAAGGTGGGCTGCTGTTTTCAGTGGCAGGGGTTGTGGAAACAACATTGTTTGTAATAGAGTTTGCAGCTGTCACGCATGCGTGGCTTCCTTCTTCCTTTACAGAAGCATCTTCCACATATGCCATGTCTTGTTTTCTATGATCAGATGATGATTGAACCTTCTCCTTCTCTATCCTTTTAGTCTCATCTTCTGGTTCACGAGAACTGCAAACCCCATCTCTAGTTGCATCCTTGTATTTTCTTTTACATACCTGTGCAAATTGATTACCATGTAATAATAAGTCACCATTATGGAGATAAATTGACCATCATTATTGTGACAACTCGAGAAATGGAGTTTATATTAAGTCATATTACCAAATAGTTATCCTTTCCTCCAACCGAAGCTCGCTTCATTAACATGTTTGTAGCACTGGTAGAAGTCAGCTGTGGCAAGCTACCTGTTTGGCGTGCACGGGGTACCCGGGGTACACGAGGTGAACTATTCAATTCTTGATGCAATAGCAAAGCTAGCTGCCAATAAATATATACAAAGATAAATTAAGAGAAAAGGAAACAAGGATACTCTACAGGAGAAACATTTTTAGAACTTAATTAAAAAAGCAGAAGTCCAGCCCAGACCTCTTCATCACTCAGCATTGAAGAATTTAATGTTGGAGAAGGATTCGATGATGGTGTATTGTTCTGGTTCAACTTCGAGGAAGGATGGGTATTTGTTTGATTAAGCTTTTCTACTTTCTGTGGCACTGAGGATGAAATCTTATTCTGCACTTGTGGTCCTTTTTGATGGTGTATTGATGCATTAGTCTCACTAGAGCCAAAAACATTTGGAGTCTGCTGACCCGTGGATGGTTTCGTTGATGAACAGTAAACAGAGTCTCGTGCATCTGGATTTACTTGCTTTGAAACAGAACTTTGAATACTCCGGCTTGAATGCAGTCCTTTTGAATTATGATTCAAAGAGGATTTTGGACGCTCTCTTACAGACTTCCTTGGAATTTCATCCATTGAAGCATCATTCATACAACTTTCACTCTTTATGTAATTGTTACGATCAGATTTAGCTCCATGCTTCGTAAAAGGATTAGCGATTTCGGTATCTTCAGATTTAAAGTCCTGACTCAATGATTTGGAGTTCATGGTACATGAAGTTGGAGACAACTTTCCGACAGAAGCTAGCATTTTACTAGGACATTCAAGTGCTTCAGATTTAGATGGATTCTTAGCAGGGCCCAGACCATCTTTGGTTTTTGAAAATCCCTTTTGTGTTTCCAATGAACCTTCAGACCCCTCCACTTCTTCTTTTCCAGGACAAAAATCACCAGGCAATTCATTGAGTTTGTTGGTATGATTATCAGGGAGTACTTCTGAAGATATGCCAACATTGCCTACCTTACCTTCACATGAAGGTAAACTGACAACTGCAGCATCATTGACTTTATCAATAACAGATGTGGGATTGGATGGCTTTCCATTGTTTTTAAGACCGCTGATAGGAGAAGAATGAAAATTTGAAAGCTTAAACTTATCATTGTCATCTTCTTCTCTCTTCACCTTAACTTTGCATTGTCCAGAGCTTGGTTTATGATTGCAGTCAATATCTTGAGAAACTTGCTTTCCCATAAATTCTGGTGCAGAGCCATAATGATCTTCTGTCTGAGGACTCGCATGGCTTCTCACTAAAGTATCATCTACATGGTTAGCTTCCAAGCAATCTCCGCCCTTATTTGTAGAAGCAAGAAATGTCATCACAATATAGTGCGAGACGAAGTCTAAAATCATACATACAAGACAAGACAAAACATCCGTAAAGCTATGCGTGATAAACCTAGTTAAAAATATGCAAAACACCTAGCAAATGCCCTGAAAGCTCCCGAGCTGAAATTTATAGTATCACATATTTAGGTATGACTACGAGCTCCAAGTTTCAAAAGAAAAAGATGCATTGATGGAAGATCCTATTTTTGGGGGACCAGGGAAGAAAATAAAGACTTGTCATTATAGCATATTGTTCGATAAACATCGTTTTAAATTTGATTCTCAAATTCGTTTACCAAGCTTTTTCACATATCTTTCTCGCAATTTAAGTCTTAACTAATCTTGAACAACACCAAAAAGCAATGTATTGTTGTATTTTAAAAAACTTGAATTTTTTTATCAAACATTAGATCTAGATATAAGCACGCCATTCATTTCTATGGTCTGCTCTTAAAATCCTGGCCACAATTATTTAAACTAAGGTTGAAGAAAAGGGTATTGGGACAAAAGAGGAAATTTATAAAATGCATACTGCATCAACCACAGACTTAGCCTAACTCCCACTACTATCATAAAAGCTATGGCTCTGAGTTGATTATCAATTTATCATTAGATACTAAGCACAATTTATCATGCGCAGTCGTAGGCTCTTAGTTATAGATAGTAATTTTCTTTACAGTCGATTATCAGTTCAAGATGGAAGTTGTCAGACAGTAGGAATGATACAATAAGAGAGAGCATACAGCTAATATTCATGCTATGTTATTAAATGGAGAATAAGGCGATAAGTGCAGGCATCATATTACTAAATGACAGATTGCATAGACAAAATATAGGATTTAATTTTCTGAATATCGATAAGTTTGATTGCAGAAATGTCAGTAAAACATACCTTCTTTTTAGCTGAGGCAATTTCAAGATAAGTATGCTTTAGAACTGATGTAACTGCATCATCAGTCTTAGAAGACATCTCAAGAACTTTATGGCCAGTCTTCCCTTCTACTAATACATCTCCAGCAGAATGACTTTGTCTTGCTTTGTTAGGATATAAGGCTTCTGAAGACTCCTCAGTAGTTGTCACGTTGTTGTTATTTGATGCCTCCATGATGATACCCCCGGCAAAAGAATCATTAGGGATATGATCTCGAGCCACCGAGTCTTTTAAGTTTTTATTCTTTATGTTTCGAATGTCATCTTTGAAAACCTTCGGACCTCTGCCTCCAGAAAATGGCAATTGTTTTGCATCACTGGTTGATGTAAACGCTAGTTATCAAAAATAAAGAGGAAAAATAGGAAAGTCAACATGCGCGTGTCAGGAATGGTGAGATGAGAAATACCGTCATAGCTGACGACGTTCTCCCACATGCACAAGGAAACAAAATCAAATAACTGTTTTAAAACAACTAATAACAATTGTAACAAGAGGAAAACATCAAGAAAGATAATTACATTATACATACTACCTAGCAATAGACATATTGATTTAACCAACTATATATGGTAATTTTGTCGTTTTCATTAACTTAGTATGATAGCACTCTATGCCTAGTTTGGATTACGTCTACCAGCTTATCAAGCAAAATGTGGCCGTTAAGGATTAAGTTATTATGAGTTTATAGGTCTTTATGGGGAAAATAAATGACAGTTTCTGAAAAATTGAATTGCAAAAGCTAATTTAAACGTGTACGAGCATCTGTTATTGAAAATCCATTAACTATTGCGCGATTATCTTACAATTTCTTTACCTACAAGTGTTTCCGGAAGAAAAAAACTTACCTATCTCTATTATCTAGGGCAACATTGAAATTTAAGCAATTCTCCAAATTAAGAACAGCAAGTAAATAATCAAAGCGCGGAAAAGGGAAAACATAAGTAAATCAAATCAAATAACCTGCTTTAGAAGAATGTGAAGTCCTCCGCTTGGGATCTACATCCTCTCTATCAGAAGTCCTCTTCTTGGGATCTACATCCTCCCTATCAGAAGTCCTCTTCTTGGGATCTACATCCTCCCTATCAGAAGTCTTCCTCTTGGGATCTAGATCCTCTCTGTCAGAAGTCTTGACCCGCTTCTTCTTCCCACTCCGATCCTTGGAGAATTCCTCCTTCCTACGCTTACTCGAATGAACAACAAAAGGGCTATGCGAAGTCCTCTCCTTCTTGACCGCATTGTGGACGCGTGGCATATGATCCTTGCCAATCTTCCCTGTTCCATTTTCCTTGAAACCCTTCTTACCCTGGCTTGATTTCATATCCACCAAAGCCGCAACAGGTGATGTGGGTAACATGTTATTAGTCACTTTAGAAAATGATAATAGAACTCCAGCCCCATTATCCTTATCCTTAATATCAGTATCATTTTCTTGTGCACCCTTATCAGAATCATTCTCATTCTCATACCAAGAAGGAAACTCCCTATACTGAAAATTAAACTTCTTAGGAACATAACCAGTGCATTTCCACAGCTGCGGACCGAAAATCGAAGACACGGTCTTACCAGCAAAAAGAGAAGGATCACCACCAGGGATACCCTGAACATGAACCCTCTCCTCCATAGGTATATCAGTCCAAAGCTTAAAAGGACGGCGAGAACAAGACGCAACTCTGGAAGAAAGAGAACTGCTTTTGTTATTATTCCTTCTCTCAAGAGAGATCGTCTTCGTGGGAAGATCGATCAATAATTGAGCAACCTCGGTTTCCTCGGTGTTGTTGTCAGCTCCGGCACGGTTGTTTTTGGCCTTGCACTTGTCACAAGCGAACATGTCATCGCCTTTGACATATCGAGAACAGCGCGTGTGAACCCACACATCGCACTCGTCGCACTTTACCATCTCTTCACCGTCGTCAAAGGTAACGCCGCAGATGCAGTCCACTGTCCATGAACCATCGACCCATTCGTCCGGCGGCGGGTCCATATTCTGAGGGCGATTTGACCGCCCTTTCATTTTGGTGCCGCGATCTGTTCTGGTAGCTATTGCTAAACCTAATTTTCGATACCTTAGTTGAATTCAGAAACTGAGGATTTGAGAAATTCAAGAAATTTTACCTGAGATTCGGAGAGGATGTTGAATATTGTGATGACTGAGAATGAAAAATGAGAACTTTTTTGATTTCGTGTGTGCTTACGTTTATCTAGCCATGCTCGGAGATGGGGAAGCTGAAAACTACTGCGTTTTTCGGGTTATATATGAAATGGATTATTGGATTGGACTGGGCCTCATTGACTATATATAACTACAATGTTGCTGCCTCTTCTTACCCCACCACTATTTCTATATGATCCAAACATATCTAAAACGTATAGAGTATCGAAAGATTAAAAGTTATTTTCTTAATGAGCTTTTTTGAAATAATAATTATGTTTGTATTTATGTTTTTTTTTTTTTGTCAATCTTTATGGCATGACTTTGAAAGAGAATAACTAATTGACGATTCAAAAAATCTACGAAAAAGGATGGGTGAAGAAGAAAAAAATCAATTTGGTCGATTTGCATTTTTAAGTCCTTTGAAAACCTTAATGGACTAATATTGAATTCATTGTGGATAAATACTCTTAAAGTTTGTGAAAATGTGGGCAAATTCTAAATAAGAATGATGTATGTTTTCTTTATTATGAATTTTTTAGGGTTTTGAGATTTTTTCTGAGTTTTTTGTGTTAAATTATCACAATAGTGTGGCTTTATGTGTTTTGAGTTCTCCGTGAATTTATAGTGTGGTGATATATGTTATGGTCTGATTAGATCATAAGGTTGTTGTATTTGTAATTCATGCATGGTGTAAATATTGTTGCACATTTGGTGTAATATTTTGGGTATTATTCTTCTTTCTTTCTCTTTTTTCGTCAAACAACCAACGATCTTTGACATGGTTGACTGATGGTGTGGCTAGAGGCACGATGGAAGTCGTGAGTCGTGTGGAAGGAAAAACGGATAAGTCATCTTTGGAAAAGAAACGATTAAAAAATGTAGAAGTGTTAAAATGGTGTGGGATGACTACAAGCACATTTGTGAATCATCAAATTGTTTCTTTGTTTTATTTTAGTTTGTTAAGTTGTTTAATTAATTATGTGACTATGTATATGTTTTAAGTCAATTTAAATTCCGAACAATATTTGAAAAGGTTCTTTATATTTTGTGAGGTAATTTGGTCAACTATATTTTTGGCACTTTAAAAATCCTAATGGGTTAAGGTCAAACTCAAAATGAATAAAATATTTGTGAGCTTATGAAAAATTGATGAAAATTGAAATAAAAATTACGTTTTTCATGTATTTTTTATCTTAAACATTTAAAAAAATTTAGGTTTTTTTTTTTTAGTTTATACTCTAGACTGTCACAATAGTATGATCTTATTTATGTTTAGAATTTGCCTTAAAAAACATAAATATGCCTTAAATTTATAGTCTAGTCACATTTGTTTTGATTAGATAAGATTGTAAGGGATAGTATTTTTTTATCCAAACATGATAATAATGTAGTTATATAATTGACCTAATATTTTAGGTATTACTCTTTATCGATAAAAAAAATACATTGTAATCAAAGAAGTAGTCATACACACTTTTCCTTCTTTTCCCTTTTCTATGTTCTATAACTGACAATCTTTAATATAGTAGATTGGTAGTGTATAGGTGGAGGCATGATAATGAGTGTGGATCATAGAGAAGGAAAATTGGTAAGATATTTTTGAAAATAGATTGAAGTGTCAAAACAAGGTGGAATAATTCATTATTTTATTTTGGCTTGGTATGTGATTTAATATATCATATAACTATGTTTGTGATTCAATTCAATTTTAAGTTCAAACAATTTTGAATATTCATAGTCTAAAAAAATATTAAAATTGCATTGCAGACTTTAGGAAGAATATAACAATTTTTTCAACTCGTGTTTTTCTTAATTTCAGTACAACCAATTATTTATGTTTCATTTTAGTGTTTTCATTAAATTTTTACACTCTACTGCATCACTAAAACACGTCTAATAACTTACAATAATTTTTTACTTTAAAAATAAATAAAAATGATCGTACCTGACCAGAAGGGGATCGATGATCTGCCACGCGTCGTCGATCTGAAAGCTGTTCACCCAAAGTGTAGAAGAGGAGGGGGTGTACTTGAAACACACTTTGATGCCAAAGTAAGTGGCGAGTAGATTGGAAGCAAGTACAGAGAGAGAGTAAGAGAATTAAGTTACCTAACCCTCTAGTGAAGAGGGTATTTATAGTAAGCCCCCAACGCAGGGTCAACGGTTACTTAGCACTGGGCTGCGCTGCCAGACCCAATGTTAGTAACTGCTAGGGCTGACGTGGCATCGTGAAGGCCAGGACGTGCTCTTCACCCTAGGATAATTGTTCCACACTATCTAGGAGGAGAAAATCCGAATCTCTAGGACGTGGGTAGTTACTTTATGACATGTCCCTACGTGAGGGACACGTGGAGAACGCGGGGGTAGGCTCGAGGAGTTCCCCGGTCAGCCAGAGGAGACTGGTCGAACACGAGGGTCCTGCTCGACGACGGGGAAGAAGAGGACTAGTTGGTCGAACGTGAGGGTCCTGCCCGACTGCGGTTGGTCTATGCCCGACGGGGGGACCTTGTGCTCGACGGGGGGATCCTGCTCGTCAGCGTGGTATTCTTGGGTCCAACCTCGTTGGGCTTGGGCCTACTGGGTGGTGGTCTAAGCGTCGGTCCAGTCCAGAACAAAAAATATAATAAATATGTGCTTGAAAATGATGATATTATTGAGTGATTTAGAGAAAAAAATCATAAGATCTTAAGGACATTAATGAAACTTAAAATAATAGTTAAATATAAAGTGAAAGAATTAAATCATTAAATTTTATGAGCAATTTGATGTTGTTAGTGATAATATTTTAATTTTTTTAATTGCATACATTTGTAGACTTTAATTTTTAAAATCTACATACAATACCTTGTATTATTTATATTTTAAATCCTTTGAATTTTTTATTTTGAGCTAAACTCAAAAGTTTTCCCTATATCTCAAATGTCTTCCACCTCATAAATATAATGATGTTAAAGTGCACCCAACTTTTCTAATTGTTCACTTATTTTTCTACCTATTTTTGTGAGTTCGTATCACTTTAGTGCTTGTATTTTTGTGAGCGCTTAAAGAGCGTATGGACAGAGATCCTAAGATGGGCACAAATTAACCATACTTCAGGAAATTGGCATAGCGAGCTGAAGTGGCTTATTCAACATACCAAAGGTAAAGGAGTTAGAGCTGCAATCATAAAAATGGCGATTTCTGAGACCATCTATGAGATATGGCATGCTAGGAATAATTGTATTTTTGGAGAAAAGCCGGAGATCACTACTATAGTAAGAAAAGTAATAGATACTTTGGTGTATAGAGGATGGAACACTAAAAAACTTCGAAAGTATATAGCTATCTTAATGATAGAGTGGGATTAGATAAATAGATAGTTTTTTTTTGTCCCTTTTTGGTTCTAGGTTGTCTTGTTTGTAGCTGGATTCAATGGGATCGCTTGTATCTATCGTCATTTTTTGAAGTAATATAGTTTTATTTTCAAAAAAAAAAATGAAAGTAATAGAAATATATGAAATAAGGAGTTTGAATTATGTTGATCGATTTGAACATTTTTGTTTGTTTTAAATAAAATTCAAGTCAAGCATAAGAGTTTAAAGATTAAAAAATAAGAGAAGAAAGATTAAACGCACAAAGTTTATTATAGTTAATCCCCCTTAAGTATGACTACATTAAGTTATCTCGCATACAAAAATTCACTATAATCAAATTATTTACAAGATCACTAAGATATTTATTATTCCAACTTACATATATCTTATATTTCCAAAACATGGAGAACTGGTCCCCAATTGGACATCTTTGTCACCTCAAAGAATTTAACTAACATTTAGCATTTTGAGGAATACAATCGCATAAAGAAATAAATGATAGAGTCTTTATAAATATCACTCAAGAGAGGATGTAACTACTTTAGTTACAAATATGAGTGTTTTGATCTTTCAATGGAAAGTGTATTATAGTGAAAATGCTTGCTTAATTCTTTCTTGATTTTTAGTAGACTTTTCTTTATATGTATGATCAGTGGTTTTTATATGTTGCTTTACCGTTTGTTTCAGTTAATCATTTGTTATGTCTTGTCGCATTTTATTTGTTTTTATTACATTTTACGTGTCGATTTGGTATTTTCACTGTTTATAGGTTTAGGTAAACAATAAAGGAGAATCAGAGCAAAAATCGGGGAAAATTGCAAGAACTCGGAAGAGCTTTGAAGTGGACCAGGAGCCTGACACGGCCGCCCATGTCAGGAAGTGCTCAGAAAGACAAGATTTGTTGGAAACTAGGGAGCTGACATGGTCGCCCGTGTCAGCTGACACGGCCCGTGTCAGCACACCTGGGACTTGGAAAAAAAACTCGTGAATTTATATCAGGAAGCCAACACGGCCGCTCGTGTCAGCTGACACAGCCCGTGTTGGTTAAAACGCTTCATTCTCTATTTTTCTTGTATTTTTTACTCTTGTGATCCATAAGGGTATTGTGGGTATTTCCCTAATGCTGAGTTTGAGTGGAGACTATTTGAGTCGTATTTTGAGAAAAGAAAAGGGACTTTTGGACAGAAAAGAATTTCACGAAGAAGATTGCAGCGATCAAGGATTGGGGAAACTGAAAGTTCTCATAAGCGGAAGCGATTGAAGATCAAGACGACCCTATTATCTTGTAATGTTCAGTCTAATTGTTGATTTTATTTTAAATATTACGAGTAGCTAACACCCCCCCCCCCCAAATGCTAGGAGGTGTCCCTGAATTGACTATGTAATGACCTTGTTTTCTTTGAATAATCGTTTCACTGCTTTCCAATCATCGTTGTTATCGTATAATGTTTTAATGATTTTCTTATCTAACAAATAAGGATTTGATTTACGGTTAACCTTAGGTTT